CTATTGACTGCATGGTGATACAATAAATGATGGTATTTTCAGCTGAACCGTCTTTCATTTTTATTATAATGCCCTGTCTTTGATTTGATGTTTGGCATCTGAAATTGCCACAACATGGGAGATGGACCCATCATATTAAGCGTGTTATGAAGCTCTTGAAATTGCAACTCAATTATGTGCTAGTCTCATTTTCCTAATTTAATTGGTCATTTATTGTAAAGTCATGGAAATTGATACTCAGTGATCTAGGCATTTCAGTTCTCTACTTTAGGTTGAAACCAGGCTTAGTTTCTCACTTGATAGCTCTTTTGTGGAGCACACTCCCAAAGGGAATGACTCCTTCAGTACTTACGACACTGTTATCTCTCGCTTTCGAAGGAACTAGCTTACTGCTAACGTGCGATGGACAGCACGCTGAAGTTCAGTCATAGGCAGTCATGTTCTTTTTTCCAGAAGTTACAGAGATTGTTCATTTTGACTCTCTAAACTGGCTCTGTTCACTCGTTTCTGGTATTTCCCTCAGGCCCTCCTACCTTTGGTATTTTGTTCTATTTCTTTAGATTACTGACTTCAGTTAATTTTGCTCTGCAGTTGTGAGTACATGAAACAGTTTATTCTTGTATTACTACTGATTAATTATTGTATTGCTTCCCATATGGACAACTATAAACCTCCTTTTGCCCCACTCTTTATTAAAAACTTGGCACTTTTAAACCGATTTCTTTAAGTAACATCAGCTTCGGGTGGGATAGGCTATGGTCGCCTTCCCTGAAGACTAGATTCCTGTCAGACCTCTCCAGCCTCCCATCCCACAACTCCCACTCAGAGCAGAAGAATTGACCATTTTACAGAAACCTGAAGCCCTCAGGACTTCTTTCTCTGGGTGTGGATCTGGTCCATATATTACCGACCCTGCCAGGTCAGGGACCCAGACCAGGGTCCTTCTGCCCAGCGCCGTTTGCCCCAGTAGAATGAGACAGAGTTCAGTAGAGTGGAGCAGAAACCGTATTTTTTGGCCAAGGAGTGGGAAAGGATGCTCTCATGCTTCCACGACACCTTCTCCCCGACGGGAAAGGAGCCTTGGAGCCACAGTAGCTAGCATGTAGGTCATGAGTATTACATCTCTTATACTGCTGTGTTACTTTGAAAAACTTGGCATATTTATGTCAGTGTACAACACCTTATGATTTTGAATTCTATATGACTTTGTAATTGTAGGGCTTAGGCCAGTAATGGCGAACCTATGACACAGGTTCACCTATGACACGCGAACTCATTCTTTTGGTTGATTTTTCTTTGTTAAATGGCATTTAAATATGTAAATTAAATATCAAAAATATGTCTTTGTTTTACTATGCTTGCAAATATCAAAAAATTTCTATATGTGACACGGCACCAGAGTTAAGTTAGGCTTTTTCCAAATGCTGACACGCCGAGCTCAAAAGGTTCGCCATCACTGTCCTGGGCATTTTTGATATATATGAGGACAACAAAACCAATAACCATGGTGATTTATAGGCATATCAAATTTCTAAGATATTTTTTACAACACTCATCATAGGATGTATTTGGTGGTTAATTTAACTGGTTAAATAAAGAGTTCCATGAATAAAACTCCTGCTCTTTTATTCCCATATAAGTTAAATTTTATTCTGTTGATGCATAATTTACCTCTGATAGGCATTAATTGTTTCATAGCCGGTGAGTGAAAAGTTATCTCATAGCATGTATATGTGCTTGTATCTGTGAGACATAGTTCAGTATCGTCGATTTGTAAGTTAAGTTGCTGTGTGTGTAAGGGTTTCAAGTGAAATTGTCAGTCCCTTGTACTGCTTGGAGTAGATTTAGGCTTCCTAAGCTTTAAAGATGAATAAACTATTAATCCAAGAGCGGGAGGAGACAGGAAAGAAAAAAAATAAAGGTAATTGGGTGTTAGGATATGAGGAAAAGAGCACTCAATATGGATAGCCCAGAACATATGGGAAGAGTAAGTATTAATACGTAGAGAGTCTTTAATACGAATCATATAGCATGCCTTATACTCATTGATTTTACGTTACTGTCCACTGGGTGTTCACAGGTGAGGAAAACAAAGCCCATAGCATTTCCAGTCCTTATTCTCATTTTGGACCACACGGGAATCATAGACTCACCTCGTTCACACTGAGGTGAACTGGCCAAGCTGATCATGACCTCCATTGGCCTCTCTAGCTCCTCTGAGGAACCCACTTGTAACTCATTTTACCCTGAGCTGGGAATCTCTGCCCTAACCACGGGTTCTCTAACTTCATCAGGCATCAGGATTATCTGTAGGATTTGGCAACCCCCCCCTCCCAAACCCACAACAAACAAACAAGCAAACAAAAACCAAAACATATTTCTGGGTCTCACCCCAAATTTCTGATTCAATAGGTTTGCACGTCTCATGAGTTCCCAGATGACACCGATGCTGCTGTCCCAGGGATATTCTTTGAGAACCTGCTCTAGAAGAGGTTGCGTTACCTGCTTACCTTGTGATAAATAATAAAGCAGCAATAGGTTGTTTCTGCAGATGATCATGATTGGCTAATTGTCTGCCTCCCAAACTTTCATCATTTCTTTTTCATTGTCAATTACCAGGCAGGAAAGGTTGTTACTCTTGAATTTTGAGTGCTACTTATTCTAGATAAATTCATATCACGGAATCATATAGCATGTATTGTCACTGTATCATGAATAGTAATTGCTTAAAATAAGCAGAAAAGTTGAAATCCAAACCTAATTTATTTGAACATTGTTTTGTGGCTCTGTATTTAATGTGCCTTTTAATTTTAAAAAAGATCTGCAGTACCTAAATTTGTCACAAGATGGCATTGAAAGGCTGAAAAAGATTTTGGTTGAAATTTGTGTTTTGAAACCATTAATGGGTTAGATATATTTCAGGTATACTCAAACCAAAAGAAATCTGAACTATGAGGTATTTTTTTAAAAAATTGAGCGATATTTTGGTATTTTCCTGTAAAACACTTTCTTATTTAGTTACAAAAAATGAAATAGTCAAATACATTGACATTATTGATAAGTAATTCTTTCAAGAATCTAAGAAACATAAATCATAATGTAATAGCATCAAATATTTCATTATGTATCCCCCAGAAGCACTTCACATAAATTCAAGTTAGTAATTATAGAAAGTCTTACTGTTCTATGATTTATAGGTCTTATTATGCATAAGGTGATATCAATCTTGCCTGCAATGAGCTTTAAGTTTTAGTATGGGAAAAAAAGAAATGTATATATAATTCAAGAGAGAACAAAATCATAAAAGTGCTTAAATAAAATGTTGTATTATATGGAATTACACAAACAATATGAACTGGAATAATGGGCAATTAAACAAAAAATTTAAACGGTATTTTACAAAAATATCCTTGTATCAGTTGAAAACCCTATGTTGAATTTTTCTTTTAATGGTCTATATTACCATAATTTATTTAAGCCATAAGGAAATTGTTCAGCAATATAGAGAGTTGTATAAGATTTAGTATTTGACATAAAGCATCAGAGTCACTCATTTGAAATATGAACTCACCTTTTATTTTATGAACATGTGGTTTTATTTTTTTCTGATTAATTGAAAAATATTTTTCAGAAGAGGGCGAAGACTTTCTGGTCACACAGATGTTATTTATGATATTCCTGGGTTACAGGAATCTGAAAAACATAATTATATCAAAAAATCAAGTGTAGAATGGTGGTTATCAGGGTATTGAGTTTGGGAGAAAAGAGATATGCTATAAAATGGTATAGATTTTGAGTGTTGCAAACTGGACAAGTTTTGGAATTCTGTTTCACAACAGTGTGAATGTACTTAACACTGTTGAACTGTGCACCTAAAAAGTGTCCGACTAGAAGCTATGAGCAATTAATAGGTTTTTATTGAAGCTCAACAATGTTCCCAGCTTTATTTAGCTATTCAGAGCTACTTAAAAGAAATAAAACCTCCTTAGGAAGCCTATACTATAATTGGTGATAGAAGATTAACTTAATATACTAATATAGTAATCTACTGAAAGTCCAACATATATGAGGCATTGTGTTAGACACTTATTTTTTTATTTTCTTAAATTTATTGGAGTGACATTGGTTAATAAAATTATATAAGTTTTAAGTGTACCATTCTATGATATATCATCTGTACATTTTATATAAATTATTTTTAATCTTCAATCCTCAAAACAACACAGGAGAGTTAGTATTATCATACTTAGATCCATATTTTATCAGTTAGGAAAGTAACTTTTATCGATGTGAATATTTAGTACCTTGTTGAAGTTTGCAAAGTTTCTAATCTTTGATTTGGTATCTAAACCCAAATATATGGAGCCTCAAAATCCATTTTCTATGAACTGCACTATGCTTCTAATTTAAATAAAAAATAAAGAATACAATAAACAACTATTAATTTGTTTGGCATTTCTACTACCAGTAACCATATCTATTGTATATAATTACTAGAGGCCCGGTGCACGAAATTTGTGCATGGGGTTGGGGGGGACCCTCAGCCTGGCCTGCACCCTCTCCAATCCGGGAGGGATCAGGCCTAAACTGGCAATCAGATATCCCTCTCGCAATCCAGGACCTCTGGCTCCTAACCGCTCACCTGCCTGCTGGCCTGATCGCTCTCTAACTGTCCTCCCCTGCTGGTCTGATCACCGCCTAACTGCTCTCCCCTGCTGGCCTGATCGCCCCTAACCGCCTCTGCCTTGGCCCCTGCCATTGTGGCTTTGTCTGGAAGATGTCTGGTCTAATTAGCATATTACCCTTTTATTAGTACAGATTCTGGCAAACTTTAAAGAAAGGACATGCAATTTAATTAATGGTAGCTGTTAATCTGGATTACATGTTAACTTCAGAAAGAATTACCATAGACTTTTTTTGTGGATTTGAGTTGTCTCTCTTTTTGTTTGTGGACAACTTTTGGAAACGCTCACTTCTTTCCCCTCTGTATTCATGTGCAGGTTATGTGGGTATGCAATTTGTGCCGAAAACAACAAGAAATCCTCACCAAGTCAGGAGCCTGGTTCTATAATAGTGGACCTAACACCCCACAGCAACCTGATCAAAAGGCTCTCCGAGGACTGCGGAATGAGGAGGCGCCTCAGGAGAAGAAAGCAAAACTGCACGAACAGGCCCAGTTCCCAGGACCCTCAGGTGACTTATCTGTACCTGCCGCGGAGAAAAGTCGATCTCATGGGCTCACAAGACAGGATTCTATTAAAAATGGGTCAGGAGTGAAGCACCAAATTGCCAGTGACATAGCTTCAGACAGGTAAACATTTTGCTTCATCTTTAGGTAAACATTACTACTTTTAATCTTTATTTCAAACAGAAATACAAATACATGAAATGTTTAGGCAACCAGTTGTCTAAGTGTAATGTCAATGTCCATATGTTTTGTATAAAAGTGATGAAAGTGATGTGTAGGACTTTAGCTATGACAGGTTTGAACAATGTTAGGTTTGATGAGGAAGTGGTGGGTTATCAGGTTTTCCAGAAAAAGGAGTGAAATAAAACAGGGAACTTAGATGGGAGGTTACTGTCAGAGGGAAGAAACTGGGATAAGAGCAATGAGAATGAAGAAGAGGCTGGATCGATAGGACTGGCTGGAAGTGGGGAAGAGAATGGGGAAGGTTAACATTATTTCTAAAGGTTCTGCCCTGGGCTGAAGGATGCAGTGGTTTTCCAAGCAGGTAACACAGGTAAAAGGGTTTTATGAATCTGATATATCCATGGCCTAACTCTGTTATTACTATTTTGGCTCAGTTTTAATGCCTTTTCCTTGACAAAAGTGTTAGACTTTTAACAATAGTGTTTATGGTTCTTATATTTCCTACCTTTGGAAGGAGAAGAATGAAAAGATTTCCAAGAGAGGATTATTTTTCTAGTCCATATTTCTATTTTTGAATTAAAATTTTAAAGGAAAATCTGGTTTATACCGTATGTATTATTCAGTAATGGCAGGTACGTTTCTGGGTGAACAGATATGAAGTCATGCACTTGTGGAAAAAATCTGAATTGTACTCACAGGGTGGTGGGTTCTGAAAAGTGTTAAAACAGGTAAGATAAGTGGGAGTCCCCTTCAGATGGTGCCGAAAGCCGTCACACAGATGTGTTGCTAATGTCTTGGAAGAATAATAAAATGATGATGCACCAGTTTTGTTTTTGGCAAAAGTGAAACAGACAATGCAATTCTATCTTTGGAAAAGGCCATGGTGATTTCATGGCTGGAATACTATGAACACATCTCAGTGCAGAATCTCAGGAAGCCAAGAATTTTAAGGTAGGAAGATCATCTTAGATTGAGAACTTAAGCACACAAAGGTTTGAGGGCAGATAGTTTATTTGGGTGGCGATCTCAGAAACCACCAGTAGGGGAGTGGGAAATGATCCAAATAAGAGAAAGAACGTAACACTGGTTGCATTTGAGAGCAGATTACCTCTTTTGGCAACTGTGTCTCAGTCTTACTGGGACTTCTAGGAGACGGGGTATCACCACCTCAGAGTTATAACACAGGATGGGCTAGGAGGCTGGGGTATTTATCCATAATTCTCTGTTTTGTTGGCCTAGGTCTGTTCCCGGGGAGGAGGGCGGGGCTTGTTAACGCTCTGGCCAAGCATGTTTCTGTTGCCAGAGAAAGCATTCAGGCAGAGTATTACAAATATTATCACAAGAAGCTTCTATGTAGGGAATGGTGAATGATGAAGCAGTGTTGGTTGGGACAGTAGCAGTATCTGTAAAGTGGCAGCCGTAATGGCCAAGGTATATGAGCTTAGATGAAGAAAATGATGTTAACCAAGGGAGGTAGGATTTTAAACGAATGACTTAATAAAATAGATAACATTGGCTCATTCTTCAAAATAGATAACTACATTAGAGCGTCTCCTTTGGAGGTTAGAAAGGTAGGTTTAGGAAGAATAAAAGGAAATACTAAAATACTGGGTCACATAATAGTTTTTAAAGCTTTAGAATGCATATCATTAGGAAGTTGTGGATGTTAAAAATAAGTCCAACAAATTTATGAGTGATTAATTCATCATTGTAGGGAACTAGAAATATAGCACTAATCTTTGAAGAATGATTAAGAACAAATACATTATTCTCCAATATTATCTGTTAATGCTTGTTTCTTTGACAGTGTACTAGCCGAATAAACAGTACAATTCGACCCACTGTGGGGAAGCAAGATGTAGTTACTTTTTTTCTTTTTGCCTACTGCCTCTGGCTGCATTACTAATAGAAGCATATTTTAATGACTCAATGTATTCTATAATTATGTCCTTCCTTTCTTTTTCTAAATATATTTTTATTGATTTCAGAGAGGAAGGGAGTGGGAGAGAGGGTTAGAAACATCAACGATGAGAGAGAATCATTGATCGGCTGCCTCTTACACTTCCCTATACTACTAGTCAGGGAAGAAGAGTTTAATATCAAATTTGGAATTTATGCCTAGAAAATGGAATTGGTTATAATTTATATAAACTTTTGGAAGATTCATTTTTTCCCCCAGAATAATTCAGTCCCCTTACTATAAACAAAAAGAGCATTTGTTTTATTATTTTTAAATGCAGATTCTATAGTAGTTTATTAGGCAGGTATCTGTAAACGCTTTGAATTCTTTCCCCTGGAGCAGGAGGTCTACAAACTATGTCCCTGGGGCTCTATCTGGCTTGCCCCCTGTGTTTTTGTAAATAAAGTTTTATTGAGACACAACTATTTATTTACTTATTGTCTATGGCTACATAGACTCAGCTACAACTCCAGAGTTGAGTATTAGTTATAAGAGGCCATATGGCTCTCATAACCTAAATATTTACTCTCTGACCCTTTACAGAAAAGTTTGCCAACTCCTGCTTTAGAGAGTAAGTAGTTATTTATTTTATTTACTAGAGGCCTGGTGCGCAAATTCGTGCACCAGTGGGGTCCCTCAGCCTGACCTGTGGGAAACCGGCTCTCCGACATCCTCCAAAGGGTCCTAGATTGCAAGAGGGCACAGGCCAGGCTGAGGGACCTCACTGGTGCATGATCCGTGCCAGGGAGGGATGCGGGAGGTTGGCCAGCCAGGGAGGGACCGGCGCAGGAGGGTTCCAGGGCATGTCCGGCCTATCTCGCTCAGTCCTGATCAGCTGGACCCCAGCAGCAAGCCAACCTACCGGTTGGAGCGTCTGCCCTCTGGTGGTCAGTGCACGTTATAGTGAGCAGTTGAGCTGCCTGAGCATATCATTAGCATATTACACTTTGATTGCTTGAACAGACAACTGGACGACTGGACACTTAACCTATTAGGCTTTTATTATATAGGATTATTATTTTAAAATTAAGTTTTTATTGATTTTAAAAAGAGAGGAAGGGAGAGGGAGAGAGAGATAGAAACATCAATGATGTGAGAGAATCATTCCTCAGCTGCCTCCTACATGCCCCACACTGGCAGTCAAGCCTGCAACCCGGGCGTGTGCCCTGGCCTGGAATCTAACTGGCGACTTCCTGGTGCATGGGACTATGGTCAATGAACGGAGCCACACTGGCTGGGCAGTAGTTATTTTAATGCTGTTGAAATTTCTCCTTTCTTTACTCAGTTTTTTAAAAAATATATTTTATTGATTTTTTACAGAGAGGAAGGGAGAGAGATAGAGAATTAGAAACATCGATGAGAGAGAAACATCGATCAGCTGCCTCCTGCACATCTCCCACTGGGGATGTGCCCACAACCCAGGTACATGCCCTTGACCGGAATCGAACCTGGGACCTTTCAGTCCACAGGCCGATGCTCTATCCACTGAGCCAAACCGGTTTTGGCTTTACTCAGTTTTTTTGTTACTATTTAAATGGTGTCAGTTAAGCCTGTTTACTCATTCCCCACCCTCTTCCCAGTTCCTCCTCCTCCTCATCCTCTCTGCCTCCTCCCCTCCTCTCTCCACATCTCTCCCTTCCTCCCTCTTTTTTTTGTCTTCATTTCTCTCTCTCTCTCCCTTCATACCAGAATGGGTGTTCTAGGAGTATTTAAGTTGAACAGTGAAATGGAGCTACTGATAAGGACTATAACTCCAGTTTAAAGTATTGTTAGTCATTTGTTTCTTCAGTACCATTCAAAAACCATTCTAGTGTCCTCAAAGAGAAGCTTCGGTTCAATTAAATTTAAATCTTTATGGACCTAGAACTATGATTGAGAAATAGAAAAGTATGTTATGTTTCCTAATTTTAAGGAGCTTTAGTATAATTTGTAACTACCTGCTACAGTAGTTTTGACCTGTTTCTGACTTTTTAGTTCTATAGGTGCTTTCCTCATAACCTGTTAGAATTAATTGAGTTAATAAATACCAACTTGACCCAAGACCTTAGCTTTGAGTTAATGAATACTTACTTAGTTCCTTTATTCATAAAGATGGAAAATGTTTATTATCAACTTAAATGCAAAATATTGTTAGAGATTTTCAAGTGTTTTTTTATTTCAAAATACTTTTGAAATAATCATTTTTTTATGTACAATTTGCTTACCCTTACAGTGTCTAACGTGAGTGCCTAGTGGTTTCTTAGCCTTTAAATCACATGCATATCATGGCGATCTTATTAAAATATAGATTTGAATTTGGTAGGTCTGAGGGAGGACCCGACAGTCTGTATTTCTAAGTAGCTCCTAAGGGATGTCAATACTGCTAGTGCAGAGTAGGAGCAAGGCACAAAAGCATCTCGAAATACATTAGTGAGGGAAACACCCCTGGCCTTTCATAGCTTAGTGGCAGCTAGAGAGGCATAACAGAGTGAAATTTTGTGGTTCTTAGAGGCAACATAATTCCACATTTATTTAGTGGAGGACAGAGGTGGAACCAGCTACCTGGTGGCAGGTTGAATACATTCACATAGCTGCAAGCATCTGGCTCCTTTATGATGATATATGGTAAATACCTAAGCATTTAAACATTACTTATTTAAGTATGTTTTAATTATTATAAACTACTTATTTACTTCCCATTTATTATCGTTACACATGCTTAGCTCTTGTTCCACTATATTTATCGAGTGAGCAATCTTTTCTTCCTACTGATTTGAGATGCCATTTTAGTCATGTATATTAGTTATTATATGTGAGGGTATATCTATAGATGTTCTGTATTGTTCTTTTGACCAATCTGTTCAATGCTTATATCTAGTTTTAAAAATCCCATTTCTGTTACTTAAGCAAACTCAACTATTAGTTGTTGAAAGCAAGAAACTTGGCAACATGAACTTTACTAATACATTTAATTTCATAGTTATTTAACTGCAATGTACAT